CTTTATGTTTCATTAATTTGTAATTTTTTAATTAATTAAAAATCTATTTTTAGATGTTTGTGTTAATTCTCTAAAGCCTTAAATTTCATTTAATTTATTATTTAGAGAAAAATGAATAATTAATGTAAAGTCTAACGAAAACAATATTAATATTAAAACAATGGCTCTCGTAAACCATATTTTAAAGTGAATGCTATAATAAATATTAATTCAATCAATTTTGTCATTATTTACAACTTTATTTTATATAACTTATATATAAATCTTAATAAACATCTGTGTTTCACATATAAACCAAACATAAACTATATGATCGAAAGCTACTGTAAAGTAGAGAAAAATACAAATCATTTCAAATAAACACATTTATGTCGAAATGAATCGACAATTTATTTTTCGACTGAGTACTCGAAAACCATAATAATTAAAACACATGTTATATAATATATATATTTATGTATATATTCTCACAGATATTATAATAATCGGAATCAATGGCCGAAGCGAGAAGTGCTGTCAGCGAACCCATGGTCTCCAAAGTGGTGGACAGAGAGACCCCGCACTGGGATGTGATCGCCAAAGCGTGGATAAAAGGCGGTCGACGCAAATACTACCGAACCAGGTATGTGATCGCGAAATTTCCCATCCCTTTCCCGCACTCTATTTATGCTGATTACTGATGTTTAGCCCATTATTACTTCAAATGAATGACTAGTTTTGTGAGAAATTCTCTTACTTTCCACTCTCTCTTATTGCCTGTAATCTAGAAAATGTGTCAAACATTTCATAATAAGATTTTAAATACTAATCCGATTTAATTGTTTTTCATTTATTTAAATCTATTTATTAACAAATCTCTCTCTCTCTCTCTCTCTCTCACACTCACACACACAGTCAGTAAGTCAGTCACTCACTCACTTTCAATCGCTTTCTCTCTCACATCTCATTAACTCTTATGAAATTACAGTTCAATTAATTTTTATTTTCATTTATTTTAGTTATGTTCGCAAAAAAATTTCATTTTTGAAAAAATGTTAGTAATAGGAGTAAAAATTGCTTGATTTACGAGCAGTGCATGTATTTTGTTTATATTCCCCTTAGTTATTAAATCTCATGCTTTACTCAACACTCAGTTTCGAAACCTTGAATTTTTTGGGCAATAATTGTCCTCATTTTTGCTAACATTACCATTAAATACACTATAAACTCATATTGAATCAAAAGCATTCATTTTTATATTTCTATAAACATATATAATATTGAATATTTAATTTACACATTAATATTGAATGAATTTTGATTGTATTATGGATTTTACATCTGTTTATAACTCTTATTATGCTTAACACGGAATGACAAATGAATACTCTATTTTGAATGACAAAAAAATTTATTTTATATAACATATTCTGTACGGAAATAAAATTCACAGAATTAATGCAAACATTGAATACTTAAACTCTTTGTGAAACTTATTTTATACATATTGAATGAGTTCGCAAAGAATAGTCTTATTCTTAACAATCAGAATATTCTAGTATTTAAATAATCCATGCCAAATAACAATAAATTATCAAATATACAAATATTCACCAAGAACACCTATGAATTGACTATTAAAATGCATTACTATACTGAAACAGGAACTCCATACGGAACGGCATGTGGCCGACATCCATGTCCAACCTGTGTGTCATATGTTCGGCATTTTTCCTACTCATGGTTTGCGAGCCGTCGGTCACCCAGTTATTGACGGACAGACTCTGGAGATTTGGGTTTCAAATCTACATCATATCCAGTAAAACATAGCCACACCATCTGTTTGAGCCGTTTATTGCAATCAATTTTGTCGCCCAAACAATAGGTTTGCCACTAATGTTGCGGGCGGTGATCATCTCATGCGTGTTTGGCATCAGTTTCATATTAGTGGTGCTAATACTGCGACAATATTTCATACGACTATTGCTGTCATACAGGGGTTGGATGAATGAGATCTCATCCCGGGGTAAATCCAAGAAAGTGATGCTCTGGGCGATCGCGCTGCGACTGGTCAGCGGCTACCAGCCCTCTCTCTATAGCTTTCAGCGTTCATTGCCGCGAATGCCGGTGCCGTCGCTCAGGCATACCATTCACAAGTTGTTTGAGTCGTTGAAACCTGTTTGCAGTGAAGAAGAGCTCGTCGTCTTGAAAAAGCAATCAAAAGTGAGTTGAGAACAGAGATTATGTTATATTTGATAGCATTTTTAAAAAATGGTAAAAATAATAATAAAAGGACTTTTGAGGGCTTTTACACACAATTGGTTTTCTTAGAACTAGTTATATACACTTATACAGCGCTGTTTGTACCCGGGTACTTTTAAAGTCCTTTTTATTATACACATTCTTTGAGCTCATATTTTCAAACAAACTCTTATGATTAGCCCTTTTTTACATGTGTTTTACAAACTTTTTATACCGGTATTCAGCTTAAAACTAGACTTAATACTATGAAAACATTTTATTCTACATATTATTTATTCACTAAAATTTTATAATACATACATTTTTACAGTTTTTTGGAATAACTTTGAAATACATTTCCTTAATACGAGTTCAGATAACAAATTAATTTATGTTCGGATTTTAGTAATTATTTATTAGCCTGGACATAAAGAATTTATTGACTACAGAATCGGCTCTAAATTTATTCTCAATTCCATTAAATTGATTATATTTACGATAACTTAATAAATGATTGTATGTTTAGGTGTTTAAATCAACTTTAGGGCCAAAACTACAGAAACTTCTAATATTGAAATCATGGTTAACACAGAATTACGTGACGGACTGGTGGTCTGTACTATCAAATGGACACTAATTGTGATTTATCTCTAATGATAACTCATATTATAATTGAAGGGAGAAATACGTATACCTAAGAAGTAGACTCCCATTAGCCATAAATTGCAATTACTATGTTATGGATCAGAGCTACTGGAGGGCGACGGACAAGCCGGCCGCACGGGTGGCATCCCTGGCCACCAATATATTGAAATTCAAGCGATTAATAGATAGGGAGGAACTGCCGCCCCTACTGCTCAGGAATACGATTCCCATTTGTATGGCTCAATACGAGCGGCTATTCTCGACGACCAGGTATTCAGTGATCAATAATTAAGAGGACTTTGCTTTTTGGGACTAAATTAATGTCCAAATCGTTAGGATTCCGGGCGAAGAGATGGATGAGTTGATCCATTACGACACCAAACGCTCCAAACATATCATAGTTGTCTGTAAAGGGGTTTACTATAGAGTGGATGTGTTTGACTCGAAGAACCAACAAATCTCGTCCAGAAATTTGGAGCAAAAGGTTGAGTGGATTATATCGGACGCCGAGAAACACTCGCAATCCCTGTCCCCCGAAGAGAAATCGGTGGCCGCGCTGACAGCGTTGGACCGCTCGGAATGGGCTGTCATTCGGAAGGACTACTTCACGAGCGGCGGCGTCAACGATAGGGCCCGGGATTTGATCGAAAGGTCCATATTTAACGTATGGATTGTGGACGAGGAGCCCGAGTCGCTGACCGATAGGGCCAAGTATACCATTCACGGCGACGGCACCTGTATTTGGTTTGATAAGTGCTTTAATATACTGGTGTTCGCTAATGGCAAGTGTGGCCTTAATTGCGAGCACAGGTATGCCTTTTGTTTACTGTTAATTGTGTGTGCGTTAAGGTGTTTACATGTAATCTGTTTTATTGGATAATAGCTTAGCGGACGCACCGGCCTACGCGCACATGTGGGAGTACGCCCTGAGCCGGGATGTACTCGAAAAAACTTTCGACGACGACGGGTATGGTATTCGCCAATTGGTTCCCAGGGTTCGCTAATTGCTGTCCTGTTTCGCAGCACATGTATGCCTCCCAACCAGACCTTCAGACAGGGCTCGCTTAAGGACGTCGTGCGGATCGACTGGGATTTGAGCCAAGAATTGAAGACCAAAATCAACAGCGCGTTGACATTCGCGCAGAAGAACAACGAGGACTTGGATCTGGTTGTCGTCGACCACAAAGAGTGGGGCAAAGGAGAGGTGAAGAAGTGTAAGATATCTCCCGACGCCTTCATTCAGTTGGCCCTTCAGATGGCCTACTATAAGGACAGCGCAAAGTTCGTGCAGACGTACGAGGCGTCGATGACCCGGCTGTACCTCAACGGCAGGACAGAGACGGTGCGCTCCTGTAGCCAGGAATCGGTCGATTTTGTGCTGTCGATGAACGACCCGAACGCCACCAAAGAGGAGAGAATACGGCGCCTCAATATTGCGGCCGAAAAGCACACTCAGCTCTATAAGGACGCCATGAATGGCTTGGGAACGGACAGACACCTGTTCGCGCTGTACGTGGCCTGTAAGGGACTGGGATATGTGAGTCACTGATGAGATTCCGTAGGAATTTTGTCTGAAATTCTTGTATTTTTGACTGATTTTTGCCGTAAAGGAGAGCGAGTTCTTGCATAACGTACTGACCCGCCAGTGGACGCTCAGCACTAGTCAAACGCCGCACACCCAGCAGACACAGGTGCCGGACCCTAATTATCCCAGTTTTAGTGAGAAATTGTGTCCGGG